AAGGTCTCCGGGTCCAGGCCAGTCTCGTCCATGGACCGGAGGAGTTTGGCCTGGTAGACCTGCAACACGGCCATCGTGTGCAGGGCCGATGCAGCCTGACCGGAGGCGGAGTACGCGCGTCCAGCGAGGGCTGAGGTGTTTCGGCAGGGTTTGTTGGGATGAGCGGCTCTAGCTCGCCAGCTAGCTGCAGTGCTCGGGCAAAGATGAGCTGCCACGGCCTCTTCGAGGGGCGGCAAAGACTCATAACCCTTTTCCGCTGCGCCATCCACGGAGGAGAGCGTCGCGGAAACTGCAGATCCCACACGTGCTGAGTATGGAGCGCGCCAGGCCTTGGTTAGCTCCTCGTGGACCTCGGGGAAAAATGGCGCCGGTTTGTGACGCGGGGCCTGCTGGCGCCCCTCCAGAAACCATCCATCCAGCCGACTACGAGGCGGCTCCTCGGGCGAGGCCCACTCTAGCTCGAGGTCCGCGACGGCCTTCGTCAGGATCCGAAGCATTTCGGCGTCGGAGTTTGTCCTGGTCGCTAATCCACTGGCCACAGATGAGAAGCGGAGACGGGGTCGAGAGAGCCCGGCCATTCGTCCTCAGAAGCGGCGTTGGATATGCTGTCGTCGCGCTCGAGAGATCCGCCGAAGGAGACGAGGCCCGCCACGTGTGGGGGGGGGGCGCTGGTCTCCTGTGAACAGGACCGGTGAAGGCGTTTGAGTCGGAGAAAGTGAAGCACGCGGGGACGCGGCCGGCGTGCGTTCACCAATCTCCATATCCTCCGGTTGCCGTTGGCTGCGACGCTTCTTCTTCCTCGGAATGGGAAGCGTGGTTGAAGCGGCATCGCCGTCTCGAGAGAGAGCTAGCCGATTGCGCAGCACGGAGATAGGCATGCAGTCGCAGGCCGCACATCCGCCGACAGAGAGTGCATTCTCCGCGTGGTCGACACCCAAGCAGGAAACGCAGCTCTCGTGTTGGTCTGCCTCGTGCAGACGGCCTCCGCACGTGGCGCAGGATGAACGAGGCATTCTGAAACAAACACAATAATAGAAAGGATATAGGATGTCGCCGGATAGCCACAGGTGAGACGGCGTCAGGAGACGACTGCTTGCAGGCGAAGTCTGCTGAAGAGAAGCTCGCTCAGGCTGAAAGGCTTGTTCGACGGCGAATTCACAGTAAAAGGCTCAGGGACATGTATACTGTCGCTGAAGGAGTAAAATCTGCTATAATGGCGAATTCGGGGGTCTTTTATAGGCTAAGCCACACCCCCTTGACGGGCTCTGACGTTGAGCTAGCTCATTGGCTGCAGGTCAGAGTCGCCCGCGCCATTGGTTGTGCAGTTGCGGCAGCACAGCCTATGAGCGTGCCAGACGCTCAGTGTGCTGGCTGTGCAGCTGCAAATGCGTTTTACATATAGGTTTCAGTAAATCGAGGAAAAGGAGTTTCCCCACTGCGTATAGCTACGCAATACGAAGTGACCGTTCGAAAGGGAACTAATTACATTACAAGTCACGTTACATAGGCCTATTTTCAGTTCAAAATGGCGAAATTAGACAAAAGTATATTCGTGTGCCTGATTATTTTTGTCATTCGTTTAACATTTATGAACTAAAAAAACTGTCAAATATGAAATGTTTAGTTTAGCTACTTACATCTCGCACTTGACTGTACACTGAAGCGTCGAGTCTCACTGCTAAAATTCGCGCTCAGCTTCTGTGAACATAAAGCCCGCCTACTTTGATTTGATTGGTCATCTCAAATATTCTGACATTGACGAGCAGTGACAGACCAATGAGGCTCAGATGAACACGCACGCACACACACACACACACACACTGTCCTCTGTTTCTGACGTGCGCTCTGCTCGGCACCGCTGCGGATTGAAGATGAACAACGCGCTGAATCTGATTATAACAAGACTGAAGAAATAAAAAATTATCAGGGAGGAAAAATCTGAGGGGGCACGTGCCCCCTCACTTTGAATGGGCATGACGCCACTGGTTGAGGGGACTTTACTTTCGAGGGCACTCAAAACCAAGTGGAAGTTTTAAGGGGGGAGAAATATGCGGAATCATGAATATGCTAATTAGCCCTGCCTCCACTCACGTCAGCTCACAGATTCACTCGGCCAACTTACTGAGGTAAACGCTGTTCACTGGTATCGTTCTTTACAACGTCGGACACATAATGGTAATTAATATGATAAGCCTTTTGCTTGACTATGTTATCAAACAGCTAATAATGTGTTGCTAATGATATGCAAATTATTTTCCCGTTCGCCATATCTGTTTGCCTTCTATCATCAGAAACCCTTTGAACAACTCAGAACGTCAGTGGAGAAATGCATATAGTTCATTATAACATCATAATATACATTATGCACCCGCTATACCGTTATATTTTCTTATCAACAAAAAAAATATTTTGTATATTCTGTTTTTTGTTTTAAAATAAAACCTGGACAACCTAGCTGGCATCGTTCGAGAGAGACTCCTTAATTCCTTAGTTGGCTGTTAATGATATGCTAAAGCCAACCAGCACATTTACGTGATTGGTTACAAGGTAGTTTGTGATGTCGGAAACAAGGAGAAAATACTCAGCAATGGTGTTGACTTATGAATTTGCACATGGTTTATCTTAAAGCACATTAAAAACACCACATAGCTCTAAATAAAACTGTGAGGACTTTGCCTCCTCATTTTGAAACAGCACTGCACACCACTGATGCTCAGTGGTTCATGTAGGTTGTACAAACCTGGTGGTTCAATCCACGGTCCCACCTGACCAAGTGTCGAGGTGTCCATGAGCAAGACACCTAACCCTAGCTGCTCCAGAGGAGCTGGATGGCGCCTTGCATGGCTGACACCGCCGTCGATGTATGAATGAGTGAGTGAATGGGTGAATGTGAGGGAAAATGTAAAGCGCTTTGGTGGCCATTGGGTCTGTGAAAGCGCTATATAAAATGCAGTCCATTTACCATTTTTAGTTTAGTTTATTTCTCATTTAACTAAATTTTATATTACTAATAACAGAGATTTAATACGTACAATGAAACCACAAAATAGGCAACGGAGCAAGTAAATAAACAAAAAACAGAAGAAGATAAAGTTGGAGTGGAGTTTAAATTTCAGACGGCTCCCGTCTTTGTGTGTGTTGTGAAAGCTCACAGAGCACTGGAATGAACATAGAGTGTTTTAGCTGGCAGGCATATTCCCGCATGTAAATAATTCAAATGATTATCAAATTCAAGCTGAGATCAAACCTTAGCTTTTGCCTATGCATAATTTCAAAAGTAAAACCGCTGTGTTCAATTCCTTTGATAAATACTACATCAATGTTCATTTCACACTGCAAAAGAAAAAAAAAGATAGAAAGGACAGATCATTTTGTCCTAAGAGAAGCTGTCTTTTGGCTGTTTTTGTAAATTCTGTCAGCATGTAGTTGAGAATGTATTTACTTACATATACGAAAATAGCCTGATTTCCCCACCCTAAATCTATAAGCAGGCTCCCTAACAAATCAGTGTTATTCTAGCAGCATCAAACTTCATTGCAGCTCTGCATTATTGATAGTGTGCATGAAGAACAGAGGAGAGTTTGATTAAAGATGAGAAACACTGGAAGATGGCCAGGCCATAGTTAAATCAAAGATATAATTCAAAGACATCATTTCAAAGACCGCCAACGTTATGCAAATATGAATGTTCAGCCCCTTCCAACAAAAACAGATATGGAAGCCAAACTGTGTTTACCGTGGAAAGTGCTTTACTTCAAGACTCAAGTCACTTTAATTTATTTGATGGTTGAATGTCAGTCAAATGGGGCGTTCACACTAACAACGTTTAAATCGCTTGAGGTCGATCTGTATCAGGCGGGGGATCATTGTGTGCCCTCCCATTGGTAGTTGCAGCCTCACATCGCTGCTCATTTGCATGAAGTCAACACAACTTTGTTGCATTGCCAAAAGTCGCTTTTGCTCATGACGCCAGAAACTGAGACAGTACGAGTAGGAGGATATACTTTTAGATAAATTGATGAGAGAAATTGCAACTCTCACTATGGCTGTAGAAGGAATAAAAAGTCCCAGTTTGGGGTTTAACGATCCAGTTGCCTTTTTGTTAGAAGGTAGTAGCAATGTTCATTGGCAGGATGAGACTGAGAAATATAGGTTTAGGATGATTTCCAAATTTATTTATTTTTACATTTTTTTCATTGTTTTAGAAGTCAAATTTATTACTGATTTTATTTCTAATTTGAAATACTTGACAGCTCTCATTGAAAAACATTTATTTCAGGTCGCTTTTTCGTTAGCCGCCATCAGTTCTGCTAATTTGTGGAATTCCTGAAATTCTAAGCATATCAGCTCTTTTATAGTTGAGGTTTGCTCGGAAGCATCTTTCACGGCTTTTCGAGCCATTTTCAATATGCCAAACCTGTGGTTGAGATATGTAGGTGTTGAGTAGTGAAGAGCAGAGAGCAGTAACTGTTTAACAGGTATACCCTCTAGCTGCTGGATTTCTATAAAACTCTGGTAAGACGCTTTGATGCCCAAAGGTCAGCCATTGCTAATAAGAAGTCAATGGGATACAGCGTTTGCTTTGTCGCCCCTTCTCTCGCTTTCTCTCCCTCTTTCTCTGACCGGTGACCCCGGAGCAGTGTTAGGGTATTGTCTTTGAAATTCAGGGCTCCTTTACTTATACACGTTTCTTATTAGTTCTTTTGAACACAGGTAACATATGGCAGGTTGTGTTTAAAAGATTGCCTGCTCTGACCTTTCCTAGCATGCTAATTAGGCCCCTGAGCAGCGTCGGGCCCTCTTGAGCGCAGATCAGGGAAACGTGACCGAGCGGGGCCTTATCAGGTAGCCTGTGCCAGCCGGCGAGAGCGGTGTGGACTTTCAAAATTAACATTTTCACATCATGTGCTTCTAATAATCACTAACTTCAACCAGCCCACCAACCATCAGCCCCCCTCACTTTCTCTTTTCTCTCTTTTGCCCGCCTGGACTTTCCACAGGAAATGAAGGTGCCCAAAATTACTTTGACCCCTCGTCGGCGGTGGAGGGTGACCCAAGGCGGTGCAGGATGACTGGGGTTGGAGGCAGAGATGAGCTGGAATTAAGTATGCCATTTTTTCTCGTAATAGGCCGTCTCAGTTCATTAAAGCGGGGTGAGCGAGATCACTCACAGCCTGTCAGAGTGTTGGGCGGGCCGGTCTATGTAAATACTTTTACCAATGGGCCACAAGATTGAGCAGTGCTGTGACTGTCATTGCCGAAGGTCACCTGTCATTGGTCAGTTCCATTTCCGATCCCCATGCTTTCCTTAACTTCCTTTAAATGAAGGGGGTTCCTTCCAATATCGCTATGTGCACCTCAGCGCGTCTATTAAAAGCGTGCTCTGGGGAGCAAAGTCATATGCATGTTATAATGAAACATGGCTATTAACAGAAAAGCCATTTTGACTATATCTGTTGGACATCACCATCCTGTAATATTACACAATCCTCACAAACCTACAAACCTTTGATAATGACACTCCAGAGGTGGGGACACCTTCAAATGATATTTTGCATAAATTTCATTGCTGTCAAACGACTTACATTGGACTTACTAGCATGTTATTATTAGCTCTGAGCTATAATCATTTAATGTAAATGAAGGTCAGGAATTAGTGTCAGTTGTTGGAAATTCCTGCCATATGTTCCTTTATGTTACATTTGGACTTTGCAATCCATGCGAAATCAGACAGTGAGAGGTGTTTGAGAGCACAGCAATAAAATGTACCATCCGTCAGCTGAAATATTATTCAAATTTGATTTTTCTTCCCAGAGTTCATGAATGAAGATGAGAGGAACCTTTATGAGAAACTTTCCGAAATGTTTCAGGAAGAAGACGCCTCCACTGTCATAGATTTACCAGGTAAAGATTTTTGGAATTTTTGGAAAGAAAAAACACAATGTCTTAAATATCTCAATTGTTTCTCCCAGCAATCAATGGGATCAAATAGAAACTTTGCTTACTCAGACCTTTCTCCTTTTTCTTGATATTTGTTCTTATCATTAAGAATGTTAGGAGACACCTCTGAAACAAAGTATATGCTTTAATGAAATATAAATCATATGAACTTTGAAAGAGCATCCACTGAGCAGTAGAATTTTCCACTGGGCTGAACTTATAACAATGCTCTGTTCTGTGGAGACATCATGTGAATGTTGTGGAAATAAATTACACCGGCCAGGTTTATAAAATATTGATTGTCTCCTATTTAACTTCATTATGAGATTCATGTGATTTTACATGTAGGATGTTGTTACCCAGCAGGATGCTTTTGTTGTATTTCCCCAAAAAAGCATTGAGCTCTCAGGTAGGCACTGAGCTCAACTTCCTGTGCGAGAGCCATTGTTGTGTGTGACTCCAGTGTTTGTCCCATTAGCAGAGGGTCGGATTAAGACTCTCTCCCAAGTAGAGTGTCGGGCTTATGCTGCTTTTGTCTTGGTGTAAAATGCTCTCAGTGGATCGGTTGAGGTACCGCACAGCAGTTGTAATTGGTTTGCCAGACCGTCATTGGGTTTAGGCCTCACGGTACACACGAATACGGTGTTAGCTGTCTAACACTCAACTGGATTGTTGTGGATTTAGCTGGAGTATATAGATTAGCCTCTTCACTTTTGTCTAAGAATGCTCATAAAATCCTTCAAAGAAACAGAAGGAAAGAGGATACAGGATTAACACACAAACAGTAGAAGGAGGAGGACGATCATGGGTAGCATCCATCCATGAGGCTTTAACACAGTCACAATAGACTTGAGACAATTGCCTGCAAGCCTTCTTCACCGACACCTCATGTAGTCCAAAGTCTGGTAATTCTCTAAATATCTCTCCACACTTCTAACATATAAAGGGGTTTGGAGCATCATTAGCAGAATGGGCACAGTCCAGTATGCATTGAGTAAAACTCTGAGGGAACCCATCATGGGCCCTATCATTCATCCGACGCAATTCAGCGCCAGGCGCGAAGCAAGTGTTTTTTGCTAGGTTCAGCCCGACGCAGTTGTCATTTTCACGTCCTGCGCCACGTTGATTAAATAGCAAATGCATTTGCACCCATTTGTGAGCCCATGGGCGTGCTGGTCTGAAAACGAGGTGTGTTCAGGGCAGGCACATTGTTGGCGCGTTGCTATTTTGAGGCAACTGAAATTGACAGAAATAGACAGTGAACATTCACATTGACCAACTGAAACCTGGTCTAAAGTCAATGGCGCAATATTTTTTTGTTATTTAAAGAGCGCGTTAGTAATGTGCGTCTATAGGCCACAACGCGTGTACTGTACACTTTGTCCTGTAGATGGTCTTCTCTCGCGCTTTAAAGCTCCAGTCCGTAACTTTTTTAAGTTAAAAATAATCCAAAATAATTATATTAAAAAAAACTTATTCTGCCAGTGGTCAAAACTATCTGCTTGCCATAGCTAGATTCAAAACGGTTAGCTTGTAATAATGATTTTAATTCCAGTGGTACTGGTGGGTTTCCGTGGGAAATTCGAGCATGTTTTTGCGTCATGACGTCACACCCGTACACATAAAGAAGGAGTTTCGGCTAGCCGGCTATACTGCGCGTGACGAGATGTTTAGATGTATAGGCTTTTCTCGCAGCACTTTACATAATTAAACTTATGGCATCCAGAAAGATCCAAACAACAATCATCAGTGTCAACTGGAGATTCAGCAGTTATAAAACCCAAAAGACTTCGTACTTCGGATTTAAGGTGGCTAGAGAAAGAGAAAGAAACCGTCTCATGGGAACACACGGATTTAAACATCGGCGGGGCTTTTGAAAAGTGCGTGAACTCCGTGTTTTGAAGGGGTTCAAAACGGAAGAAGAGACGGCTTTTTTCTGCTGAACAAGTAAGACATTTCAATAGTTCAATCGTGTAACAGTACGTTTTCTTAATTCACACAGTTATGGAGTTTCCTTTGTTGTGCCTTTCTCGTTTTGCTATTATGGAGAATATGAATTCTGAACTACGCAGGTAGCTGCTAACCATAACACACATTAAATTTAACATTAGTCACGCAATGCTGATGTTGTTAACATGAACAATTTGAGAACAAAGTAGGCTATAATTTGCACGGTTGCTGTAAATCGCGTTGATTAAATCTAACGAAGCTTATCATGTCGAATGCTTTTTCCCCCTTAGTTGGTCAAAACAAAAATGGATTTTACTTACTTGTTCAGAAGACATTTTCTTATGAAAATTCTTATGTTGGTCAAACTTTCAAAAAGTGAATCTGTGATTCTGTATGACAGTATCCACACAGCGCGGTGACTGACAGGAGCACTCGCCTCAAAGCACTGTGTTCATCCGTGCTGTTTCATGCCGATTTACAACCCACGTAAAGATAATAATTCCGCGAATCACTGCAGTTACAGATTTCGAACAGAGAGATGGCGACAAAGAGGAAAAGATACGGACTGCAGCTTTAACCTCGTGCATGAGCAGATCCGTTTCCCTATTTGCAAGCGGAAAAAACTGAACGCTAGAGAAGGGTTCAGTTTTTCCGCTTGGCAATTCCGCCATGTAAATAGCGAATATGCCATGGCGCGAGCGCAACTGGCTTTTAAAGGGAATGGGAGATGAGACTCTGATTGGTTTTTTGCACGTTATGCCCAAAACACACCCATTACTCTTTAAGAGAATGGAGACAACCCTTTTAGACCATGCGCCGGGTGCGCCAACCATTTTTCCTGTCGTTAAACTAGCAAAAGTAGATTCGGACACGCCCTAAGTGCACTTTCGCCGTACGCTTTAGACCATGCGCATAGATCGTTAAAATAGGGCCCCATGACTCAATGCGACCAACTTTTGAGGTTCTCTGTTCCAAAACCTTGATAGCCGCCTTGCTGTTTACTTCTGGATTTGGAACAGTCCAAATAGTATGTGTAAAAAAAGAAATAGAGCTCCTCCTTCAGAGAAGTTGATTTCATAAGAGTTGAATGTTAGCAAGTTGTAATAATATGCTAAGAGTAATAATATACAACAAACACAAATATTGGACTATATTGAAATCTATTTTTATTTGGACTGAATTTAACTATTTGTATCAATACTTTTTGGTATTGAATAAATTACATTTATAACCAGCATCTTGCTGCTTCTGCCATCTTGGATAAATGCTTTCACTGAGCCTGTCATAATGTATTATGAGATTGCCTTATGCATGAAGGATACATGCTGTGCTACCTTAGAATTGGGCCAAAAGAAGGTATCTATCTTTTTGAACATCCATCACATCAGCAGAGTGCCTGTGATTGCCTTAAAATGCTGTCTAGGTAGGCAGCAGCTCACTAGGTTTTTTAACAGAGCTAACATGTATCTTTACACGTGATCCAGGTGTTTCCCCATTTGTGTGTTGTGTAGCACTGTGAAGCTATTGCAATCACATTAGGGCTTCATTAGCACTACTCTGTTTGATTAACTCACTGGTTTAATTAAATCGTGCTTCTGTGTAATTTGGTTCAGATGAAGAATGTGTCTAAACCTCTGAGCGGGGCTTAACATCACTATCATTGACTCTTCAGACTTGTGTTTGATGTGTCTTCGCTGTATAACCATAGTCCATGTGTATGGTAGGTATGGTGGTGTCTGAGCGTGTTGAGGATGTTGAACCAGTGGCTGAGGATGGATTGAGGGATCGACGAAGGACTGAGCTGCTGGAGAGGAGAGTGGAGGTCATCCCTCAGTATGTGGAGCAGCTCAGAGAGCGTGTGCAGAAAGACATGATCCCAGTGGGCAAACCCGTGCTGGAACAGGTCAGTTATATATAAGCCCATAAGCCTCTGCTGGTCAGAATGATCTGTGCTCTGAAGTTGCTCATGTCACAGCCGGACTTATTACACCCAGTTTACAGTCTGTCTTCAAATCGCGAGAGATGACGCAACAAACTTTTTATTTTAATCAACAAAACTATCGGGGTTTGTTCAGACTATACTGTTCTTTCAGCACTCTCAGTTTTTATGCTTTTACTTGTCAAGTCAAGTCATCTTCATTTATATAGCGCTTTTAACAATGAATTGTTTCAAAGCAGCTTTACAGAGATAAACATATAATTTAAAGGGTTAGTTCGCCCATTTAAGACATGAAGTTGTATGCAATCCTTACCAGCACTACAGTGCACACACACTCCCGGTTATTTTCCGGGGCCACAAAACTGTGCGTTTTTACGTGAAAAAATGATTTGCGTTTCAAAGCTTGATTAATTTACCACACAAAAAACACGCCGGTCAAAATTCATGTACCTCAGTTTTAATCGGCACTATTTTCTATCCATTTCTATCAATCCGCGCTGCTGTCAACGTCAACAGTGCGCACGTTCCGATCAGCTGTTCCATAGTGTTTACACAAATGATTTACAACGACGTAAAAAGTATTAAATTAACAATGGTGCGAACTTGTAAATTCCCAGGCTGTGACCACAAGGATGTGCCGCGATCAAAGTTCAGATTCCATCGTATTCCTGTTTCGAATATAACTATGAGACAGCTTACCGAGCATAATCTCCATCTGCTGTTAGTCGATCTCACCAGCAGGGGGTGCAAGCGCGTGTTGTTGATTTGGCTGGTTGCTATCGGCTACTCTGCGGGAGCTAAAATATCCAGAATAAAGGATTTTCGTGTGTGTAGTGCTCACTTCAGCGAAGACGATTACATCCCCAACCAAGGAGGAAAAGGAAAATTAAAGAGTTTTGCTGTACCAGTACCACGGGTAAGCTCTATTTACTAACTTTATGATCCCATGTCTAAACTGTACGGTAAACAAGCTGATGTTTAGACTCCATTATAAAACACGTGAATATAAAATATATATATTCTAATATAAAAACAGTATATAGGGATATTGGTACAATTTGCTGAGAAAACTATTTGATTGAACACACACACAATTGAGGTTTTGTGTTGCAATCAATAACATTGTCGTTGTGCTAAAATTACTTTCATCATCTGATCCGTCTGACATTGTGCTAAAATTGGTTTCATCATCAGAAGTTTCGTAGTCAGACATGTTGTCAGCGAGTCGCGCTATCAACAGCTGATCGGAACGTGCGCACTGTTGACGTTGACAGCAGCGCGGATTGATAGAAATGGATAGAAAATAGTGCCGATTAAAACTGAGGTATGAATTTTGACCGGCGTGTTTTTTGTGTGGTAAATTAATCAAGCTTTGAAACGCAAATCATTTTTTCACGTAAAAACGCACAGTTTTGTGACCCCGGAAAATAACCGGGAGTACTTTATTGAAAAACTTCCAGCGGCCAGAACTCTGACCAGGGAGGTGACAACAGAGTGGGTCAGTGTGTATGCACTGTAGTGCTGGTAAGGATTGCATACAACTTCATGTCTTAAATGGGCGAACTAACCCTTTAAGGTAACAGATTGTTTTGGCGTTATAGCGGTTCTTGAATAATGTTACTTCCAGCTAAAGTTAACTTTGATTGATTCACCTCCGTCGAAATGATCAGACTTTAAACGCGAACCTGTGATTAACGCTGACGGCGTTCACATGCTCATTCAGAATTCTATAGTTATGTGCTTTTTAAAATATGTGCGCAGGTTTGTAATTCATACAACCCAGCCTAAACAAACTACTTTTCTTGCCTATAAATTTTTATACAGAATTTTGTTTTATTTTATCACTTCGGGGTACGCGAGCCGGAATTCACAGCGCTTTATCTGTAGAGTGGGAAAGGGATCCTCCATAGGGAGAGGATAGTGGATACTTCAGCACTGCATTGTCATCGGGTCCAGGCGAACTTGTGTTATTTTAGGCGTTTTTCTATTTTTTATTGACAAATGGGATTGAGACATGACACAATTTGGAATCAAACCAACCGCATGAGCAGCTCAACTTAAAATTTCATTAACGTGGTCTAACAGCTTAGACAACAGTTATATTCCAAAACTTCGCAAGCTGCTTTTTTTTGTACTGTCTAGGAAGTTACCTTGCAGCATCCTGACTAAAATGAGTGAATTGATTTGGATTTGTTTTCAATCAGTTTTACTGTATATTTATGTTGCTAAGCTGTATTTACAATCAATATTTCTCACTTCATCCACTATCTTTGTTGAATTTGTTTTTCACTGAGCTTGAATTGTCTTAAAGTACAACATAACCATACTGCCCATCTTTAGAAAGTGTTTTCATGCCTTAAAATGCTCACTAAGTAGACACAAAAGTCACACAATGTGACTTTTTACTTTTGTGTTATTTGATTTTGTATTCTATGTTATTATTTTGTATTACTAGGTTATACAGTTTATTTATTTTTTGTTATTGAATGACACTATATATCTTTTTTTTGTTTTGGTGTATATTTATTTGTAAATGTGGCCCAGATGTATTGTGTATGGTGAAAACCCTCTGTGAATGTACATTATAGGTAATATATTGTACAATAATTTCATGTTATTTATGTCTGCAGAGAAATTATTGTTTTGTTTTTCATTTGAAACCAAAGCTAAAAAATCTGGAGCTTGTCAGCTTATCTGAGATTTTGCAGGTCATATTCTAGACGCTTCAATCTTCCCTTCAACTGAATGTTATTCCATATGGAGGAATTGTCCAAAACACAAAATGCTAAATTACGTTGAACAAGATCAGAATTAGCCAACATATTCAAGCTGTAATCAGTCTTGGCAACATATGACTGAAATGCGAATGAAGAGATGCACATTAAATAGAGAATGTGAAGTTGAAGTGAGAAATGAATGCGTAAGGAGCGGATGGGATGTAATGGTTATGTTTGAGTCATGGCGTGTGTTGAATAATCACTCTTGGTTTATGTGCGACTGCAGATGAGAGCTTTATTCTGCTCTCCAACTGTTCGGAAAACACAACATTATCCCTACCACACTCCACAGCTATTTCACAATAATGTGTGTTTAAGCAGCACAGGATATACCACTGTCAGTCAGCTAGTAAATAAAGCCTTTTTAACGTTCTGACTGAATTCTGCGGTGTGTGTCTGTAGGGTTTGCCTGAAGATTGTATTAACACGTCTCTAATGTTCTGAATTCAACTTAGCCGCACATACAGTTGCAGAATGCAGTGTGTTGGTCCTAAACAAGAACATGGATTTTCCTTTTTGGCAGGAAGAGCGTTCAGAGCGAGGGAAGACAGAGGAAAAGGTGTGGGCGAGGAAGCAGAGAGTAATGTCGTTCTTAAGGGGAAATTCAAAGGTACTGATGTGTGTCCAGAAAAAGGAAAGATTACTGTAGGTATGTCAAATGAGATTTCCTGAGGTACAGGAGCTGCTGCTGAGACCTTCTGCTGTCTTTCCCCATCAATCACACTACTATCACTCAAACACACTGTCACAGGCTAACGTGGACAATGCTATACAATTATATACCATAGAACATAAATAGTATGCATTCTTAATAAAATACATGCACACATTTATGGGAATAGCATACTACCATAATAATCGTAATAATTCTGAAGTAAATAACATGTTTACTGTTAATAGTTTCGTTATGCACAGAATCACCATATGATCTTGTGATGATTATGATGATTGCTAATATATTTAGTGTAGATTTAATACTGTTCGCGTAATGCATACTATTTTGCATAAATTAAAAAAATATTATTTTGTAAGCTATAAAGTATATTCCGTTCCAATCATAACTATTGTGTTAATTTATTTGAGCAAGACACGTTGAGTGTCATAACAACAGCAAAATTTACTTTAAATCTTAACATTATTCTTATGCTGCATTGCAAGCACTGCTAGTAAATGAAACGTTTTGCTCTACATTATCATTTTTACTGTGACATAGTCTGGTTTATCGCTGTACTACGTCACATTTTAAAATTTGGTTTCTTCAAAATATTGAATACAATCTTTGATTTTTTGTTCAGAAAGTTTTTGTAATATTTAAATGTGTATTATTTGCTTCTGCAGATCAGGCACAGAGATGAAGAGGAAGCCGTTCTGCAGGACAGACTCTACTCTGTGTTCCAGCGGTGCGTGGATTTCTCTACATCCAATCTGATGTGAAATAATCATTAATCTGTGTTTCCATAGCCATTTACATTTTGCTGACATTTGTGAGGAGATGTAATATACTCCACATTGTATTGTCTCTACCAGTGCATTCTGGGTAAGTTGCCAAAGGCGAGGAAATCTGTCCGTGTCATTGGAAGCAAAGTAGCATCAATTTCATCCTGTTCACTTCAGTCTACAGCCCTCTCTCTCTCTCGCTCTCTCTCTGTTTCTGAGTGTCAGGCCTGCAGGCTCGGCTGTGTTTAAGTTTTTAATAATTGTGCAGCGCCACACAGACTGATCTAATGAAATCAGGGATGTTAGTTGGACACTGGTGCAGAGGTTTGTTAGATGACCCTCTCCATGTCCTCTCATATTAGCGCTGGGTGGCTGTTAGTCATATTAGACGTCTGTATCAGATCAAGGCCAGACCAACAATATTCAATGAATGTTGTGACACATCAATTTTTTTTACAGATTTCCAACACTTTCAGTCGCAGTATTGTAGAATCTGTCATCTAGTATCTGGATATCTGATATTACTTTATTTATTTATTTTTAAATGGTTTGGCTGATGTTGTACTAATTGCTTAACATTTGGGTTTATTTTTGTTGACATCCTCAATTGGAAGGATGATTTAAAGAAATGTATTTATTTATTTAAACATTTTATGGTATGTCCTCATGTAGATAGCAAAGTAAACATATGTCTGTATGTGTATTATCAGGGCGGAGAATCGCTTGCAGAATTCTTTGCGTCAACAGCAGGCTGAGATCATCGACCAATATGGTGAAATTATTGAAGAGAATGAAAACACAGAGCCACTAGGCATCAAATCTGACCTCCACTGGCAGGTACTCACTCACTCACTCACTCACTCACTCACTCACTCACTCACTCACTCACTCACTCACTCACTCACTCACTCACTCACTCACTCACTCACTCACTCACTCACTCACTCACTCACTCACTCACTCACTCACTCACTCACTCACTCACTCACTCACTCACTCACTCACACCATCTCTCTTGCAGTGGACATATCTCTGCCTTTATGAAAAGCTTGAAGTATCACTCAGTTTTAATGTGCATTATAATAAACAACACACTATAAAACAGGTTTGAAAATGCGAATTGTCTAATTGCCAACTAGCAAACCAACCAGAGTAGCAAATATTGCACCACAGCACATTATTTACAGACAGTATTCTTTCATTTGTTGCCAAGAACAATAATATTCCTTTAAGCTTTGTTATAGGAAAAAGTGATACATTTTAAAGATGCCAATCAATTATATACTGAGTAACTAACTGCCAGAGAACCTTGCCTCTGTTTGAACCAAGTGGTCGTAAAAGACTGATTTCATTCCCTTAAATCTGATGTCAGAAAGATCAAACCATTATTTAAAAGGCAGAAATGTCACAACATAAAAAGGTTGAACAGCATGTAAAAATTCAGCAATTTAGTGAAAGCACAAATTATATTTGAACCCATTTAAACGTAATGCTGATAAATGGGCACATGCAAATTGACTGAAATTATAAATAAAGAATACAAAGGTAGAAATAACGTGAATGTTTTAAATGTTCTTTTGACTTACACGCTAAATAGAGCTGAATCAAATAACGTGATTAAGTTCAGTATCCTGTTAATGATATCAGTCATGGGGACAGACATATTACACATTTCTTGAAAATATGCAAGGAATGAAAGCGTATGGGAACAGGTAGCTGCACCTAAGTCTTCTGACTTAACCAAATCTAAAGGAAGAGGACATCAGCCAAAGCAGATAGTTCAGTTGTTGCAGCGAGGTTTTGCGTTGTAATGACTCCTGTAAGAGGGCCTCAACAGTAACTGCAGCCTTGGTTTGCAGACAGAGAGTCAGCTTTGAGGGAGGCAGTAAACGCAGTGAGATTGTAGTATAATTCCTCAGCCTGGCATCCGTGCCCCCCAGTCACTGTTCCATTATCTCTCAAATTGCTGTGTTTCAGAGAGATAAAGATATTTTATGGCTTGCTGACTTGAAACAACCCGCACAGCCAGAAAAGCAATGGTCGACCTGCCACGCATAGTAATTTCATTGGTAAATGACAAAATCTTTGTTTATATGACATTTCCAAAATTACAGTGGCAGATGAATCTCAAATATAAAATGTCACATTTGGCATGCAAAACTATGAAAATATATTTCTGTACAAAATTCATGGAGGCATTTAATTTAGAACGTGTTTAATAACTAAGCCTGCCTGCATCGGTAATCCTGCCTTCAGGACTCAAAAAGATTGTCATATTTATTCACTAGATCCCCCCCAACCCCCCCCCACCCCCTCCCCCCCTCCGTCATTCTCACGCCAAAAATTTTAAGGGTAAATGTTCATTGTTAATTAAGATTTACTAATTAAAATGAAAATAATTAAGGAGAAAGCTTAATCTTGGAATATTAGGCTATACTTAGAAAGAAAATAAGTTTTTGTGTGTGTATGCATGAGTGTGTGTGTTTTTTTGGGGGGGAGGAGGAGGGAAGGGGGGTTGTTTCCTGTTTGGAGTGCGTGTTTTGTCGATCTGTCAGCAAGGTTTCAGCAAAAGCCGGCCTGCGTGCCAGAAAGTGAGGGATGAGAAGTGTTAAGGATCCAGCGTGCTGCTATAATGTCATCTAGGCGAGTGTTATGGCGTTACGCCCCTTACGCCACAGCTGCAAGAAATGCGAAATCCTCCTCACCTTTATTTCCTGGAAATCTCTCTGTTTCAAATCGCATACTACTTTAACTGTTGCTGAAGTATTTAATATGTATAATGTGTATAAAGTTCTGTTCTGCTGCATGACCTACTACATGTTTCAAAATGTGCAGGATACATCAGAACACACTGCACAGGATAGATGCATATATATATTAGATATATTAGATGATAACTGAGTGCCACTCACATCCTACTTGATGAGGTGTGACAGCAATTTTGCATACTACAGTTTGAAACTTGTGAAATAATGCCTCACTTTTTAAAATTAGTATACAGCACATTATTCAATAAATTGTAGGCCAGTGTTCCATTCTGATCATAGCCTGTGTGTATCATTTTAACATTAAGAATAGCCAACTCATTATTCCATTCACATTTGATTAATTCCCAAACAAATCTCAAAATACCGATTTTTTTAAAAAGATTACAAGCATTGACAAATCTGGTGTAAATATCCAGTATAAAGCTGTAATAAAGAGTAGAAGAGAATAGAATCTTCAATGCAAGTGAAATTGTTTTCTGTAAAGTCTTTTCTATTTCTCTCTATAAATCATTGTTTTTACATAGTGAAATATTTCTCTCTCTCTCTCTCTCTCTCTCTCTCTCTCTCTCTCTCTCTCTGTAGGTGGAATGGACTCGGACTCCGCAGCCCATAGAGGTGCTTGTTTTGTGTCTGAGGGCCGTGAGAGAGAAGCTGCCCAGAGGTCTGTACTCACTGAGCATGTCTCTTCAGAGTCAACTGGGCGGCCGAACGCTGCGCTGGTCTCGTCTGCAGGAGCAGCAGTGGGCTGGAAGCACAGAACCCGTGGAACACCAGGGCCGATACTGTGACACAGAGCTCAACATTAACCAGAGCCTCTACATGGTAAGAAAACCCCAGCAAACTGCCCTCCTGAGACACCCGCAGAACTGCCGTTTATTTAACCCCAACAACAAAATGTCTGATGTTCATGGAACTGATTTGATGATTGTTGATGTGAGTGGATTCATGCTACATTAAAGAGCACAGCAATCAAAACTCATCACCTTTTTGTTAGGAATTGTGCGGTATTTTACTACTATCAATCACGGGCGCTGTTTAGAGGGGCCGTCTGTCATCTGACGTACAACACTGAGGGCATTTGTCATGTTTTTGGCAGCAATGATGAGATTTCTTTTCACAATTTAATAAGCTAAAAAAAAACATTTTTTTTATTTTATTAAAAAATATTCTGTTTTCAGCTCACCTAGGGCAAAGGTATTCTCAAATTTTTTTTTTTGCCTCTTGTTCAGTCTAATTAAAATTTAAAGTAACATGATTTTTGAACGTTTTGTCACATCTTAATTTCATTGTGTTCAATCTACCTTATTTAAAACTAGAGTTCACTTAATCCATTTGTGTTAGAACTACATTGATCGTTTTTGTTGACATACAGTATTAACTGAGCAGTGGATTTGTAGTTCTGTAAATCTGTAGGATGCTTTGCATTAGGAGAGTAAATTTATGGATTAAGTGTTATTTTATGTTTTTCAGTAAAGGTAAAGACATTTTAGTGTTTAATGTTCAGTTATGTTGGGCATTTATAAGAGTTTCTGTAATGTTTTTGAATTTTGTGGTTGCTATTGTGCTGAAGAGTAGCACTTAGAAGAGTAGGCAGGTATATGATGGTTACGCTGTGAGTTTAGTTGCTTCACTCAGTGAGTCATAACTATGGTAATGTTAGTACAGTCAATAAATTAATTAAACCTCACAAAAAACCCCCCAAAAAAACAAGTTAGGCCAACATAAAAAAAACAATTGTTTGACAAATGTAATAACGTTAAGTTTAACATACTACGGTAAATTAATTTGACCTAATCCAACTAAATTGTGTTGACCTAACTAAACTGGTTTAATTTGAATGACATACATTGTGTATAAATCTGTAAGATTTTTGTGTCCAATGTTTAAATCCAGAGAAATTAGCAGTTTTAACCAGTGTAACAGCCCGTGTCATTGCGTCGCCTGTCAATGATGTACCATCTGCGTTACCCTCGTATGCCTCAGAGACAACAAAAATAGTTTAATCAGAAAAAGCCTAATTTGTGGTAATAGTAATTTTCTCCACCATACAATATATTTAAAAAAAATGAATTGCATTTTTCTATCAACACAAGTCATTCAGCTTTAATTAATATGATATTATATCGATCTAGCTTACTGCAACGCACAGCAAGTGTCTGACATACAGAGTAACATTATAATATAACTTTTAACACACCCAAATGCATTTTTAGTATGATTGCTTTGACCATGTAAAACAGTGCTGCATTAGCCCACAATTTGAATTTGTCAAATTAAGTGACCTGTATAAGTAGTAATTCAGCACTTGCAGCTATTTCATTATATTAAATAAAATAATGTTAATTTTTAAGAGATGTAACTGTAACAAAGTTCAAGTTCTGGGAAGAAGGAGGCTGATGTTAAACATAAATGTATTCGTAAAATAAACATAAACAACAAAACGAAAGGAGCGGCATCTGTTTTTTTTTTTTTTTTTAATGCAACATGTTTTTATTGCATTATTACTTTAATACAATCCTTCAGCAATCATTCTAATATGCTGATGTGCTGCTAAAGAAACATTTCTTATAATTACCAATGCTAAAAAACAGTTGTGCTTGTGCTGTTTCATATTTTTTTGTGGAAACAGCATTTTTTGTTTTATGTTTTACACTTTTGATCAGTTTAATATGTTCATACTGAGGGAAAAAAAAAGTATTTATAAAAAACAAAACAAAGCGCATAGTGTTGCCAAGAAGCATTAGGTAAGGCACGTTTATTTGTACAGCATATTTCACACACCATGGTAATTTAAAGTGCTTTACATAGAAAAGGAATTAAAGTAATCATAAAATAATCACAACATATGCATAAGAAATAAAATATCATGTATAGGAAATAAAAAATAACAATCATATTTAACTAAAGGCTAAAACACTATTCCAGACTCACTAAATTCGGGGCTCCTCTGTCTGAATGGAGGTTGTCAGAGAGCTTCGGTTCGTGAGACATTTAGGACAATTATACAAAACATTTGACGATTTGTTGCCACCAATCACAATCAGGTATTTCAGAGAGCCACGCAAGAAAAATACACTTTATAGATTGACTGCATTCTGCACAATGTTAGCTTTGGGTTTGTGCAGAACACCCACACAAGGATAGGGAAAATGCTTTTGATATGGTGTGCCTTCTGAGCATTTCAGTGATCTTAATTCCAGCGAAAATCAAATGTGTCGGTCATCAGACAGTACTAAACTCCAAAACAGAACCGCTCCAGTTATTCTCACTGCAGTTCCACTTGAGTTATTAAATATAGAGTCAGAATGAGGCTTATGAAATGTGATATTACACAGTCAGTGAGTGTATGGAAGTGGAAAGAGACTGTATTAAAAACTGCTGCTGAAAGCTCAAGGTTTGACTTGAGGGACAGTCACTGTGAATAAAACAGCTGCTTTTCTAACATGACATTTAGTGTGTGAACGTAAATCAAATTTATAATTCATTATACAAGAGCTGACGATTTATTGGGATAAAAATGAAGTAGAAATGCAGTGAAACCTGAATTCCAGCAGTGTCAGAATTCAAGTAAAACTACTGAGACAGATAAGAAAAATAAATAACTACATGTGCATTTAAGAAAATATTAGTGCCATTCAGAGCAAACGGACAGTGTTAAGGTTATAAGGTTATCTTGTTTTCTGTTGGCTGTGAATGAGAATCAAATCAGTCACTGTGTGGTGAACAACTATGCAAATATATACTGCAAATATTTGGAAGTAAAGACTGATTATTAATTTATGAACTGTAAGAAAGACAACCAATGAAGGATCCGTGTAAGTCAATGGCAGACGTTAATCGTTTAATTTAAAAAAGCACAGCACACCTATGAAAAAATGAGAATAATCTCATAATAGGCTTTTTATGAGAATAAAGGGACATTTTTAACAATAAAGTTTTGATTAAAGTGTAGTCTTATATTTTAAAAAAAAGTATGTATAATGCTACAACTTTATTCTTCAAAAACTACTACTTGAATCTTGTAACCTTACTTTATTCTTGTAAAAGGCCTATTATTGAATTGTTATTAAAACATTGCGATTTTATTCTTTTAATATTACGACTTTATCCTCAAAATCTTTTAAATTGTATTTATTTATTTATTTTTAATACTTTTTGACATGCACACCAAAAACCGAAATAATCTTCAAAACAAAGTTTGAATGGGAGAGTTAAGTTGAGTTGTTTTAGGCTGAATTAATTCTATTAGTTTACTTCAAATCCTAACCAGAAATATTGTTCAGCCAGTGCCTTGCAAACACTGTAAATAAAGATCCTAAAATGTGATCAAGTTCAATCATTAAAGCCCTAAATCTAGCATGCGCTTGTGTAGTCAGGCCTATATCTGCAGACAGAAGCATCTGACACAAAGAAAATAAAGTGGGCCGCTTTAACTGAATACTCCTCCTCTCTGGTCCAAAACCGTGGGCTCTGATTTGGCAGGCAATCGTTTAGCGCTCCATTGAGATTGTCTAGTGTCAGTCTCCTCTATCCTCTACCAGCTCTTATTTATAGCCAATCCTGTTGCTGTTGATGTTTATGTTTCGAAGATTTCCATCAGATTTGTCTGTAATTGGCTCATTTGCTTTTTGCTGTTGCCCACATTACCGTGTGCTCTTGCCTCATCTCGTCTGTTTTCCTCACAGCTTTCGCAGAGGAAATGAGGAATTAGCGATAGTAGGAGGAAAGCTACAGCTCATCATGTTTTTCTTGAGTGTCTCTGGCTGGTGCTTAGAGTTGCTCTGGTTTGATCCATCTTGCAGATTTGAGTCTTTCCTTCAAGTGGGATGTGAAAGCCGTGATGGTCCAGGCAAGGAAGCGGAAGATAAGAAGAATCTTTCACATCTTTGCCAATCTGAAGTCTTAGTCTCATTTTTTTCCCCCCCATCTCTTCATTCCATTGTTTCATAGCGCTTCCATCTAAAGCAAAAACAGTCGATACGATATGTTTAAAAGCAAAATTAGACCAGCAGTCCATGAGGGAAGCCCACTCACAAGAATAGTTCATCCCAAAATGAAAATGCTGTTATTTAAACCCATTTGCTGTGTTTTTTTTCTGTAAAAAAAGAAAAAAGAGAGATTCTTTACACAGGTCTTGACACAGTCTGTAGAACTTTTTATTGTATTTATTTTTTTCTATGTATGCCTTCAAGTTTGCGTTCTCTCTTTTCCCTCTTTCTCTTGTGGAGTTTGCTCAGTAAGCACAGGTCTGTTTTGAATGAAATGCGATCGCTGTGATGCTTTAATAGATTCCCAGCATGCTGCAGTTCCACTTGAGAACTGACATAGGCCTGAAACACAACGTCTCAGTCATTTTATTGTTTTCACTCTCTTTTTTTAATCTTTTTTTCCCCCTGCCAATTGATACAGTCAGCAATGTTCTTGCTTATTTTTCAGTGAATTAAGCGTCTGAAATATTTTTCAATATGTATAATGCAGGAGATTATGGCATGAATTTGAGGCCCGACGCAGGGAATCTGTGCCGTTTTTTTAGGTGCGAGCACAAAGCGATTAGAAGAGAAACACATGATGAATGTGATAAAACAAGTCTTCTCCGTTTTCCATTACTCCTAATGGAGGGATGAAATATTCCAGGAATGATTGATGAAGTCAAGCGCTTCTTTCTGTCAGTTCATTTTTTAAAGGTCTGTCTCTTGCTTGATGGGTAAATAAGGATCTCTGTGTGTTAAACGCTGGTATTCCTCATGCCACATTATCCTGATATACCACATTTTCCGTTAAATGTGCCTAGTTTACATGTTCTAGTGATGTCACGGCTGTCATGTTGGGATCGTCACATGCTGGCGCCCCTGCTGAGATGGCTTCCTGAAACCAGCTGTAATCTCATTCTGATGTTTCATCATCTAGGTTCAAACTTTAGATCATATTTAACACATTTACATCTTTAGCTAGAGAGGAAATGCTGTAGACCACTGGTTTGACCTTGGGCCCCATTATTTTTATTTTATTTTGTGTGTAATATTTAAAAAAAATAAAATGAATAAATAAATCTTTATTCATAATTGCCACAATTTGTCTTTACAATATCTTTCATTAATATGTTTTTACTACAACCCAAAGTTTGGATTAATGAGTAATAGGTTAGGTGAGTAACAGGGTTTTAAACAAACAAACAAATAAATAGATTTTTTTTTCTTGCCGTGCTGTAATCAATTTTTTTGATGTCCTATTTTTGGTGTGACATTATCATCATCATCATCATCATCAACCTTGTATACTCTACTTCTATAAATATATTTCAAACCTGTCTATATATAAGATGCACTTGTACATTGTGCAACAACATAATGACCATTGTGTGCTGAATTTTGTGTGTATATCCTACTTAATCATATTTTGGGGACAAAACCTCCAAAAAGCTCATTTTTGGGATATCCTCATTTGTAAAAAACAGTGTAGAAATAAAGTAAATAAAGTTTTCAGTTAGGGTGTTGGTTAGAGTTATGTTACAGTATTTATAACTAGCTGTATATAAAAGCAATAGAAGTCTATGTTTCCATTTAGATACAAGTGTGTGCTTGTGTGTGTTTATATAAATGTTATTTTTATTTATGTATTATGCAAATTAGTTTAGTCTTGCTTAGGTCTGCTCTGTGTTTAAAGTGCTTTTTAAATCATTTTGACTTTGACCCTGAACTCCCTCTGTCTTGTTTAAAATAGATTATAATTTTCATTTGTTTTAGATGATAGGTTTTAGATTTAGTTGTTGTTCTCTCTGTCTCTCTCAGGTCTTACCTGCTTCATGTGATCTGTTGCCGTCCAGTGTGCTATTGTTCAAGCTGTTATGTCTGCCTGGTGATCACAGTCATGTGAGTTGTGTGGTGGGCTATGGTGCATTTCCCATCTGCGACTGCTCCCTTCAACTCTTCAAGGGCAAGTTCAAGACCCCTCTCTTGCGTGGCAGGCCGCACTCCTCACTCAACCAATTCCGCAAAATTGAGCATCTGCTCTCCACTGACCTGGACCACTGGCTATGCAACCTCTACTTCCAGGTACACCTTTAAGATGTACTAAACATTTACAGTCGCTGTACTGAAGACACACAGCAATCTAATAATTATGGAAGTTTGTTTCTGCCACAGAATAAAAAATAAAAAAGGTAGTTGCGACTTTTTATCTCACAATTCTGACTTTTTTTTCTCACAATTGCAAATTTACATCTCGCAATTCTGACTTTTTATAAAGTCGCAATTGTGTGTGATAAAGTCAGAATTGCGTGATATAAAGTCGCAATTGTGTGTGATAAAGTCAGAATTGCGTAATATAAAGTCACAATTGCGTAATATAAATTGGCAATTGTGAGTTTTTATATCGCAATTTCAACTTTTGACTTATCACTATAATGTTAAAATTCACTGACTTGTAAGCTACTTGCATTTAAATTAGACATAATTAAGTTTTTATTATAATAACGTTATATTAACAGGACTATATCATAGTTATGTTTCTAATTAAATGGTGACTGTCATTATAATGACAGACTGCCGTGACAGATTTTATTCAAAAATACATTAAATATTGAAAACAGGTTACGTAAAAATACAATGAACATGCAATATAGTGCATACATTTAGCAAAATGGTCCTCTCCAGGGTTATTTTTTTCTAGCTGACTAATGAGTTTTTGGAAGTTGAGTGGCTTTTCTGAGGTAAATGTAACATTACGTGACATTGTTTACAAGCTGTTTTATCTACTTCTTTCCACGGTTAAAACACTGATTGAGTGATTTGAATGTGACATGATACGTATTTTCTGTAAGCTGTACTGTATCTTTCAACACACCTTCTGAAATCATGCTGTAACTTTTCGCGTGACCTGAGGCGCTACAGCGATATCGATTCCGATTTTCTTAAAGAAAAAAATCTCTCCCGAATAATGCAGTAAAACTTCAGGGAACCCTCTCATTTGGTACATTACAACAATAATGTTCTTGGGATTTAAGAAACGAGATTGTTTTGTTCAAAATGAGAATCAATTCAAATCACGAAATCGTTTATTTTTTTTATTTTTTTAACCCAGCACTAGTAGTTACCTTGACTGAACTCTGTTCTGGGAGAAAAGGTCCTGTTTTGTATATGTGTGTGAGAGATAGAGAGTGTAAATGGCTCTTGCAAGAAAATTGGAAATTGGAGCCAGGTTGTAAACAAACCACATCTTTACTAAACAGATCCAGATACATTTGAGAAGAAGCATTGATCCTTTTATTCAACATCTTAATGAAGTTGAAAAGCAAAGCAATGACTTATCTCAATCTAATGCATTCATAAAAATAGGGAATTTTGTGTGTACTTCACAAAAAGTCCTTAAAATGCCTCTCCAACCCCATGCTTGTTCAAACTATATACTTTGAAAATGCTTCCAGCTTTGTTTAACACATTTTACCATCAATTCTACAGACATATGCAGATTTCTCCCCAAATCAGTACAGAAAATGCCCAAAATTGTCAGATTCCACCTGGGAGTGAAACAGTCCATGATTTTAGTAGTAAAAAAATTGTCAAGGTAGTCGACTTGTCCTGGCACTTAGTATGCATGCTCTGGATTGGATCTGGATTAAATCATGTCGGCATTCCATTCCTATTCTAACTATAATTTCCTTTCAATTCTCCACTGTCCTAAAATGTTCAATAAATAAATAAATAAATACAAACATACATGCATGCACACATAAAGAAAGTCAAAATAGAGGTGTACTTTCTGACCCCAAAAATATCAGGTCTGTTTTGGAAGGGTCACAGACAGCAGAGAGAGAGAAAAAAAGAACAGCAACACTAAACAAAAAAATAAAATGCAACTAAGCATATTTGAGCAGAGGAACGATAGCAAAAGAAATGAGCTTATCAGTATTTAAAAGGGAGGAGAAACACTTACATATGTTTTGTTGTTGATGTCAAAGGCTGTGTCCAATCAAACACAATTAAATCCCTGTTCCTAAATTATCTGGGTCCTGAAGCAAAACCAGTCGAGAGCCACTGCTCTACAATATCTATTAGCCAACTCTCATAATCAGTCTTTGTCAATCAGCAGACATCCCTCTGTGCAGGTGAAGAGACTCCCGCGGGGCAGCACCGGGGTGCCGGAGCGCAGCTTCACCCTGCAGATCCCCTCTCACCCCCAGCTGAGCTCCAGCCAGGGGCTTCCTCCCCACCCGGACACCTCCACCCGCTCCTCTGCCTCTCTGCCAGGTAGGACTTCTGCACCCCCTCGACAGGAATAAATGCCAACGAATGTCACGGCCCGCCACAGACTCCCACACAGAAGCAGAATGGCAGCTGCCAGTTAGAATCTGGTGGGGCATTCATGCAGAGCAAATGAACCTTCTGCATTCAGACTAAAGCACGTCCAATTTACGCAGCACAATACGCGACATTTAGGCCAAATTGTTTTCACTGTAAATGAAGCTCACTAACATAAGACACTCGGCTTTACAGATGATTGACAATTCTCACTGAATGCTATCATCATCATCATCATCATCCGTTGGTGCGTTAGCAAATGGCACATATTTCCTCTAATCAAAACTCTCAGCCGGAAGCCGGCTCACATTGCTGTGTTGAACCGTGAGCAGTCAACGTAAGCGGGATTGGGTAATAGCTAGATCTCTAATAGAGCTCGATCACTTGTGTGCGCCTCCATTAGCTTATTGAATTTTTTTCAGTGCGTTCATTGTTTGCCGTTTGTTTGGGAAATAGCAGATGATTCTGGAATGGGACACATAGAGAAGCTTTCAAAGCGCTCGGCATATGTTTGTGTGCTGAACACTGTTTTGAAGAACTTCACAGTCACATTCAACAAACAAATGAAGCAAATCAAGCGGGTTGTACGTTTGTTTTCACGCTACGTCACTGGGGCCCTTTTGCCTGTGTTCTTGTCTGCGTAATGTTTTTAGATGATTCCATCTTTGTTGGCTTTATTTTGTTTATAAATTATGTAGACAGCATGTATATGCCTAGTCCTTTGATGGTGTTTCAATACTTTTGTCATAAGCTCCCACATTTTCAAACATCAGACTTAATCTTCTTGTGCTTTGGCCATGAATGAAACCTCAAATTGTGTGACTTATTGAGAAGAGGCATGCAATTACTTATTATAAGCGTTTAGAGAGACAAATTTTAGTTTGAAGGATGATGAAATGGGAGGGAATATAACCATTACACTCTAGGTGGTATCCGAGCCATATCTAGAGACCAGAATATCATCAAGACTTGGAGGTGGGCACTTTTGACTCTGTCTCTTAAGCAATCACCCTTCAATTGCTTAGCAACCACCTCATTTAACGACAAAATTTGCTGCTTAACTACATAGTACTACGCATCATTGGAGAAATTAACGAGCTAGTCAGAACTGTATCCTGAAATCGTAGTAACATGTTCGCACCTCTGTCGTTTTAACCACGTTGGTTCAACAATATAGGGCTGTCGTACGTCACTCGCAGGTGGAGGTGTAATAACTTCTACCGATTAATCGATTCAAGAACTCAATTATTGTCAGATTATTATACTTCAAAAAACAACAATATATATATATATTAATCACATTAACATGCAGTATCTAACTGGTGTATACTTCACTTCTGTAAGCGTTATATACTGTTCATTCAGTCAACAGCTTTCTCTACAACATAATATCTCCAAAATGCTGTTGTAATGACCTTGGCATCTTAGGACTACTTCGCTATTTTTGATGCCTGTCGTTTCGCTTTATTTGATGGTTGATTACTCTGAGGTTCCTTTACACATGGATGTGCCATGCACACTCTTAAAAATGGCAGTGATTCTTTACATGCTGACATATATAGATTAAAATGTGTATACAGTATATATTTAAATGGAATGAAAGATATAGAATGTACTGCATGTTAGCTTGCTTATTGTCCAAGAGCATGATCTCACAGGTCAAGAGCAATAGTTTCAACCTTACAAGTTTGTGATGCTGTTTCCAAATGTTTATTGGGACTATGGATTTGGGAAATGATGAATCGTTGATTAGTAGCGATGGAACTTGTTAGTTAGTAACGATGGAATGATAGTTGTTGTTAGTAATGATGGAACTTGGGACCATAGTTGGCTAATGATGCTTTCTGGAAATGCCCTCAGAACACCTTAAAGCCTTGTTTATAGTTTCGATAAATGATCTAAGCGCATGGTCTAAAGCACACGCCACAAGTGCACTTAGGGCGTTTCCGAATCCACTTTTGCTAGTTTACATCATAAAAATTGTCCATTTATTTATACGTAAATTCTGCCCTACATTCCTTTTCAAGAAAATGCTCTGTGACCCTGTCGTACCAACTAGGCGTCTTTTCCAGTTACTTGACCAGTGTCCTCACAATGGCCAGCAGATCTAGGCTGCTTACAGTGTATAATTGTGTGAAATATATGATGAAAATTGACTAGCAATTTCGCCAAGCAAATACCAAGAAATAGGTTGCAGCAGTTTGTCTTTCGACTACTCTTGGAAAATCCGCGATGGGACTGAGCTCGAATAGCTTCAGCGTCAGCGACTTTTTATAGTACAAAATCGCTGTCAATCAAAAGGAGATGCAGTCTTTCGACAGACCCTCCAAATCATCACGCAGAAGCCCGGAGTCCAGGCCAGCCCACTCCTCCATTCACCCTCAGAGACGCTGAGCGTCCGTGGGCGGGACATAATCGCAGCATTTATCCAATGACCGACTAGTTACGAAGCACTGAAAAAAAAACTGTTCAGAGCAGCCCCATTGAAGTCAATGGACGCTAGGCTTCAACAGGGAAATGCACTGTGACGCTACGGGAATGTATGAGAAGGAAATCGAGTCAGCCTGCTATATGTAGCTGATTCTGAACAAACTCATATTCGAGATGAACGTGTTCTAACGCATTTTTAGTCAATAAAATGTTAACACAATAGTACATATTCGACCATTATTTTTTTTAGATTAAAGGGGAAGCCGAGTTTCCCTCGAGTCTTAAAGAAATCCCCACTGTTATTTACATGGCGGAATTTGCAAGCGGAAAAACGGAACCCTTCTCTAGCGAGGAAACGGATTTGCTTGTGCGCGAGGTTAAAGGGCACTATCTACTATCTATCTATGAAGACAGTCTACGGGACAAAGTGTATGCACATTGTGGACCTGCTTATAGGTGCATATTACTAACGCGCTCTTTAAATAACCAAATAAATTTTGCGCCATTGACTTTAGATCAGGTTTCTGTTGGTCAATGGTGCAGTCTATTTCAGTTGCCTCAAAATAGCAACGCGCCAACAATGCCCCCGAACACACCAGACCAGCACGCCCATGTGTATGATACTGTGTCTGTGTATGATAGGGCCCTTTCATTTAGGGTGTATTCACACGAGGAAAGTCCGATAGTTCACTTGCTTTGGTCCGGACCAAATAATTCTTTTTTTTTTTTGGTACGGTTCGCTTTCACACTGCTCTTTTTGCAAGTGAACCAAAATTTGTAAACAAAACCACACGTGTGCTAAGGTCGTCCATTCATTGGACAAGGATTCTCAAGTAGGGAAATCAGGAAGTGCAAAAAAGGCTCAGCATGGAGATATTTCGTACTGCAATATTTGTTATTTTACTAATTTTGTGTTATTCTGTACAAACGCAATATGAAGAAACTGCGCAGAAGACGGATAAGGTATAAAGTTTTCATTCATAGAGAGGGGGTATGTTCACACATTCAAATAATGAGATTCTTATTGTATATACTGCTAACAAGTGCTGTCAATGTTAACGCTTGCGATTAAGTTTGTCCAGTTTAACGCAGCATCATCCTTGTATTGTAACTATCGTTCCCTTTCGTAGTCACTCCGAGTTACGTCGGATGACGGAGAATGGGGGTTTCGCCAGAAAGCCAATCCTCTTCGAGTATTAAAAAACGAGCCAATGGCAAAGAAATGCCATGGGTCTGCGGAATTTGCATAATGTATCTCCGCCCCACCGCGTGGGTATTTAAGGAGAGACACCTGCAACAGCAGATCATGTTTTCGCTTCGGAGCCAAGAGAACCTCTTCACTCCACAGCCACAAGACCTGAGTTTACAAGTGACTCACCTCTTCGAGACGAGCGAACTCTCCAGTGTTGGTGTGACGGCGGTACCCAGCGAGTCTTCACATTGCCTGCGATCTGTGCAGTGGTCTGCCTGACTTTGTGTTTTCTCCCTGGTCGCCTCAGCATTGCAGAGTTTTTCCTCTCCTAAAAGAGCTGCACGTGGCACGTCTTTTTAAAGATGTCTCGCCCGTGTTCTTCTGGTTGCGGTCGATATTTGTCATCTTCTGATGGGCACGAGCGCTGCTTTGTGTGTCTGGGCTTTGAACACGCTAAAGCAGCGCTCGTGGATGACTCATGTTCCTTCTGTGGGAACATGGCCATCGCAACACTAAGATTAAGACTCAATGATCTTTCAGTGAGAGTCCCCGCGTCCACCACCCGTTCTGCTTCCTCCACGAGAGGTGGTAGTTCGGCTGGGGGACAGGGTGATCTGAGGGTGACGGTGTGGAGCAATCCGACGATACGTCCTCGGACCACGCCCCCCTCCGCTGTGTTGCAACCCGCGAGTGCCGCGGTGACTCAGGCGGGTCCTTCTTCGGAAGCCCCGCGTGTTTCATTCGGCGCTCCAGAGGATGACACGATGTCGATCGCGGCATCACAAGGTGGGCTCGAGTCTTCGGGAAGTGAGGATGCGGCTGCGTTGCCTACTTCGGGAGTCCCAGCGTTGCCCGTGTCGGATCCCGAGATGACAGCCATGCTGTCCCGGGCAGCCGTGAGCATCGGGCTAGAGTGGAACCCTCCGCCCTGCCCCGAGCGCTCGCGGCTGGACGATTGGTTTTTGGGTGCGGCTGCCGCCTCACGGCCTCAGCCAACCCCAATTCCTTTCTTCCCGGAGCTGCATGAGGAGCTGTCGAGATCATGGAAGGCTCCTTTGACCTCCCGTGAACGCTCGTCAGCTTTCTCCGCCTTTCCTCCCCTCGATGGCGCAGCTGTCCATGGGTACACTGGGATTCCCCCGGTGGAGCGCTCTGTTGCGATGCAACTGTGTCCTCAGAGCGCCTCCTCTCGTGGCAATCCGAAGCACCCGGCCAAGGCCTGTAGATTCTCGTCATCTATGGTGGCGAGGTCTCACAGAGCTGCAGGACAGGCGGCTGCCGCCTTGCATGCGATGAGCACCTTACAGGTCTACCAGGCCCAGCTGCT